CTGTTTGCAGCTTCCAGGGGATCAGTCCTGCTGGCCTAACTCCTGCCTGCCCTTAGGCTGTGAGTCTGGGAGACCAGTGCAGGGAGCAGAATACGGGAAAACGGGGAACTTTCCTAGTTTAAGAGGGTTCTTTGGAATATGTTTTAAGAACACGAGTTACTTGCAGTTGGCTCTCTGACGTGCTGCACTGTTCCAGAGGCTTTCAGGCTGCGTGGGAGCTCTACGCTGACAGCATCATGCTGTGGTGAGTCCCTGCTCAACTCCTGACATCAAAAATCAAACTGAAACTAGTTCAGGGATTGTTTCAGAGGTTCTTTACCTTTTTCTGTCTCTGAAATGCCGCTATCACAAAGTAGATCATGGCAGGGTTTCTTGGAGGTGTAGAATGCCAGGTTGAAAGGAACCTCAAGGATCATCTGGTCAAACCTTTCTTAGGACAAGCCCGGGCTAGGTAAGATGGCCCAGCACCCTGTCTAGCTGAATCTTAAAGGCATGCAGTGTTGGGAAAACTTTTGGGAAAACATTGGGAAATCCATGTTTTGATGACATGTTTGGCCAGTGAACTGCGTAGCAGTGACAGTGTGAATGCATCTCACATCCACTTGAAATGACAGGAGAAGTTCCAGGTTGGCAAACAGGAATTCCCCTGTTCCCAGCCTGTCTGGGGCTGGGATGACACCGGGAACCTGGTGCTGTGACACCCTGGTGCCATTTGTCGTGTCAGTTGCTTGGTCTTGAGTTTCGTACTTGCGGTGAACCGATGGCCACTGGCTGTAGAGGAGTGGCAGCGCTTTAGACGAGTCCCAGTGCCAGCCCCGGCTGCTCAACTCCGGCATCCCCTCTGCCCTATAATTTCACTCATTGAGGCTGGATTTGTGAGTGCCCCAGCTGGTCCCTGGCTGCGTCCAGCCCTGCGGTGTGGCACTGGGGGCAGAGCCCTGGGCTGGCATCGGGCTGTCGGACAGTGACCTGAAAGGGTCGGCGTGGCCGAGGGCCTTGGGGAGCGGCTTCCCCTCGGGAGAGCGGCCAGCCTGGGTCCCCTGTGCCCTGAATGCTGCACTGTATTCCCCTCCTCAGCTCCCCAGTAGCCAACTGCTGCGATGACTATTTCTGGGAATAATATGCAGCTGTAGGAAAAGTCTCTGAATTCAAGGGCAGCTCTCACCATGGGCCTGTGCTTGAAAACGTGGTGTGAGCGGCGCCAGATCATTCTGAAGAGCTGAGGGGCTGACCCCCGGAAGGCCAGCAGTGGGGAACTGAGGGAAGGAGCCGTGCCGAGGAGGGGACAGATTCCTATAGGGCTGTTTCACATGCAAGAATGTCTCAATCTGGGAAACATGCCAGTAAAATGTAAAATTAAAGCTCTGTTTTGGAGGCTGATCCACACAGATAAGAGTCTGTGGCTGTTAACTAATAACTACAAGAGGGGCAGCGATAAAGGCAGCATGCTTGGGGACAGGAATTCACAGGTTTGTTCATGCTTAACCCCATATGGACATTTTTTCCTCCATTAGAGATTAACAGCTCAGATGTTCTTGTGTCTTCTACTTCCCTGACTGTGAGCAGCATGGCAAAGCCGCTGGTGATCTTCACATGGGTCGTGCAGAACCCTGAGGAGGCCTTGCCTGCTCGGACAGGAGAATGGGAGAGGTTACATGGCACTGCCCATGGACCCAGGGGTGCCTCTTGGGGTTTGTAGTGGTCACACTGGTGCCCTGGGCCTGCCAAGGGGCATTGTGCCTTGGACCACGGCTGCTGCTGCTGCTGTCCAGGGGACTTGATCTTGTGTGCAGACCACACCTGGACCTTCACAGCATCCCTTTGGCCTGGGGCTTGTCCTCTGTGACAGAAGAGGAACTAATGGGCGGTGAAATCAGGGAAAACTAAAACCAGCTTTAAATACATTGGGAGCTAAAGGAATCCCAAAAGCAGAGTCATCTACTGATGCCTGGCACTGGTGGAAAGCTAGAGGATGGTACCAGTTACAGCAGCATTGGTTCTCAGGGCCATAAATGCTATTAAAAAAAAAAAAACAAAACCCTATATGTCATGAGTTAGACTGAAAATGTTGTTGTGTGTTAGTCATAGGCAGGTCAGCTAATATCAAGTCTAATCTGGGCAAACCAGAGCAGTAGGTTACCTGCTGTCTGTTGGCTTCCAGTAAACTAGTGAGATTGCTGAGAGGGACTGGGTTGCCCCTGGTTTAGGGGGGTGTTAATTGTAATAATCTGCCTGTACAGGTATTTTAAAATAGGTCTTTTCTGCCCTGCTGTGATTCCTGATGGGGCTGTGGTTTTGCGTGCTGAAGGTGAAAGTATCTGGAGTGTTCAGTGCGTCGAAGTCGTGCTGCGGGTCGCTGGGATGAGCAGCGAGGGGGCTGGACGAGATGAGCTTTAGAGGTCCCTTCCCACCCAGCCGTTCTGTGATTCTGTGAACAGAAGAAAACCTGACTAAACGAAGGGGCACAGTGTGACACCACGAGAACAGCCATTGCTGGCAGTGTATGTGCAGTAGTGTCAGCTGGGGATTGTGTTTTGGCTTGATGCTACTCAAGAGCTGAGGGTCTGTGTCTTCTCCCAAGTAACAAGCTACAGGACAAGAAGAAACGGCCTCAAGTTGCACCAAGGGAGGTTTATGTTGGACATCAAGAGGAATTTCTTCATAAAAAGTATTGTCCAGGGCTGTGCCAGGCTGCCCAGGGCAGTGGTGGAGTCCCCGTCCCTGGAGGGGTTTCCAGGCTGTGGAGATGTGGTGTGAGGGACGTGGCTTACTGGTGGACTTGGCAGCATTAGATTTATGGTTGGACTTGATGGTCTTAATGGTCTTTTCCAGCCTAAATGATTTTGTGATTCCAAGTTGGTTGGTATCCTGGAAGAAACACAAAGTTAATTTGGTTTCTGTTGTGGGCAAGACAGAACCTGGGCGAGCCACAAGTCATGAAAAGCAGCAAGTTAGTGGTGGAGTTGTACTGGTGTGCGTGCTGGGTGAGACAAGAAGGGGTGGTGGGAAAGGCCTGAAAGCGGGCACCTGGTCACAGGGCAAAGGGAGGGTGGTGGCCTGGGAGCTGCTGCTGAATATAGGGCTCTCTGAAGCTTGGTGGCCCTTCCAGAATCTTCATACCGATAGGAGCAATCCAGAGTTACCATCACTTGCCTTACCAGTATTTTCCACACCACGCCATGTGGTGGAAGGAGGGAAGTGTCACCATTTTGGAGCTGGCTGTCCTTAGACATCACCAAGTGGTCCCTGTCTCCTGTGCTGAGCTGAGGGAGTGTTGTCTCAACCTTGTCATCAGAAACTTGGATGATAAGGTACCCGAAACTTAGGCTAACATCTTAACCAGCATCTGCAGCAGCCTACCTGAGGGGCCGCCGCTGATCCCGAGGGTGGAATGCTGTTCCCGTGGGTACCGAGGTGCAGCCAGCCCGGGGTGGAGCTGGACAGTGGTACGAGCTGTGCTGTGCCGTTCCCTGCTGCCTGGGGGGCTGGAGCTGCTCAGCTAGACCCCGCAGCTGCTGTCAGGGAGGACTGGTCACAACTGCTGTCTCAGCATTGATGAAGAAATCGTGAACTTTGGGTGAATGTTGCTCATTATAATATCATTATAATACAAAAACACAGCTCCTGGCCAAGAGCTCCCTGCCTCTAAGGCAGGCCATGCCTTGGGCACTCCTCC